CTAACAAAACATGTACAGGACTGTATGCTGAAGACTACACAATGCTAATGAAAGAAAGAAGACCTAAATAAATAGAGAGACATAATGTGTTCATGGATTGAAAGACTCAACATAGGGAAAAATTCATTTCTCTCCAAATTAATATCAAGTTTAAAGAAATCCCTATCAAAATCCCAGCAAGGTTTTTTGTAGCTATAGACAAGATTACTGTAAAATTTCTGTGGTAAGGCAAAAGAACTAGATAGCTAAAATAATTTGGAAAATAATAAAGTGGGAGGAATCAGTCTATCTGATTGTAAGATTGATTATATAGTTAAAGTAAACAGGTATTGGCAGAGGGATAGATGCCTGGATCAGTGAGGTAGAACTGGGAACCCAGAAATGGACCCACACAAATATGCCCAACTGAATTTTGACAAAAGTGCAAAAGCCATTCAATGGAGGAAAGATAGCCTTTTCAACAAATAAACGTTGCTGCAACTGGACATCCAAAGGCAAAAAAAACAAACAAAAAACAAGCCCTGACCTAAGTCTTACACATTATACAAAAACTAACGCAAAGTGGATCAGCAATTTAAATGTAATTTGTAAAACCAGAAGAAATATAGGAGAAAATCTTCAGGATCTAGGCTCTAGGCAAAGAGTTCTCAGACTTGATGCAAAAAGCATAATCCAAAAAGGAAAAATTGATAAATTGGATTTCATCAAAATTAAAAATGTTTAAAAAAAAAAAAGCAGCTGCTGAGGCTACTTATGGACAACCAAACACCTCATGGGATTTAGTTTCTTGGTTTGGAGGTTTAGGGTCATGGTTTCATGGAACATCCTAGTTAATTGTTCTAATATTGTTTTTAGTGCTTCTGTTCTACCTCCTAGTTTGTTTCGTAGTGCCTGGTGTCATAAAAGCTTGCAGGCGGCCATCCAAGGTACAAAAGTTGGTCTTTATTAGCTGAAGCAACAGGGGAAGAAGGAGAGTCAGGAATAGGAGGAGGAAATGGAATAGGTGGTTGATTGCCTCCATGACCAACTACTTCTGAGATCAGAAGAACTGGATGCTGCCCAGTACCGTTACTGAATGTTTTGATCAAAAACTCTATGGAAGAATTCTGATCAAAAGGGGGGAATGCAGAAGAGAATTTCAGATTCTCATGGAATCCAACCTTTCTGGAGCTATTGAGGCTGGATGAACCCCTGAAACTATTACCCTGAGATAATCTTTAAGCCTTAAATCTTAAACCAAAAATATCCCCTGAAGTCTTTTTTTAAACCAAACAATATTTCTGTTGTTGTTGGGTGCCAAAAAATTGATTCCAACTCATAGCAATTCCATGTGACAGAGTAGAAGTGCCCCTTAGGGTTTTATTGGCTGCAATCTTTTCAGAAGCAGATCGCCAGGCCTTTCTCCCACAGAGCCACTGAGTGGGTTCAAACTGCCAACCTTTCAGTTAAGACCAGCCAACCTCTCAACTATTGTGCCACTAGGGCTCCTGGTAGTGTATACACGTGGCAAATTGTTGTTAGGTGCTGTCGAGTCAGTTCTGACTCATAGCGACCCTATGTACAACAGAACGAAATACTGCCCGATCCTTTGCCATCCTCACAGTCGTTGTTATGATTGACCCCATTGTTGCAGCAGCTAACAAATAAGCAAACAAAAAAGATGTTGAATATCATTAGTCACTAGGGAAATGCTAAGAAAACAGCAATGAGTTGTCACTACACACCTATCAGAATGACTAAAATAAAAAATAGTGGAAACATCAAAGGTTGGCAAGAATGCAGAGGAATTGGACATTAACTGTGGCGTACAGGCAGTCCCCGGATTACAAACGAGTTCTGTTCCAAATCTGTCTTTAAGTTGAATTTGTACGTAAGTTGGTACAGTTCATATCTCATGTCAGTTAGTCAAATGTTTGTCTTTGTATATAGTGTAGTGTACCCTTCTATGCATAAAAAACTTTTATTTCTTTAAATACTTCCAGATACACTAAAACATCTTTAACATAATACAGGAATAATAATGTTTTGGTTCATCATTTGTTATTATGAACTGTTGTATGTACCTTCTCCATAGTTGAAGAGTTACCTACAGAACAAACGTTAAGATTCTGTTCTGTAAAGTCTTGAGAACAATTAGATACTTTATTGTACACTCTGAACTTAAAAACCTACCTTGTTCCACCCAGTGGCACTTCTGCTGGGTTTTGAACCCTCTTCAGAAGAGGCAGGGAGGGTTGGGAGCGTGGGTGGGATAGTGCTGGGACCAGAGAGATCATTTCCCCATCACCTCCTCTCCAGACCTGCCAACCCCACCCACCAACTTTGAGGCCCCTGCCTCGGGGCGGGGCACAAGGCAAAGTGCCTCTCAGAATGTGAGGAAGCCCCAGGCCCAAGCGTTGGCAAGAGGACGCTTAGGGAAACCCAAGTCCGAAGTTCTCCAGGTACCCCTGGAAACCATATGGACATACATAGGTCAGGAATCTAAAACTGCCCCCCCACCCCTCCAGCCACGAAAAGGCCAAGAACCGCTGCAATAGTGAAATCCCACGTGTAAGGTAGGGGAAATAGAAGCCCAGAGAGGTGCTGCGGTGGCCCACAGCACTGAGGGCCCAGGGGGGATGGAGTAGCACGGAACTATAAGGGGCCTCAGCGGGGGCCCGGCCATGTGCTCAGGCGGGCTGCACTGACCGGTTGTACTGGGGTGCAATGCCCGTATCCCCATCACCTGCGCCACCACCTACAGGCCCGCCTTGCAGAGCAGCGGTGCGTGGGGCCAGCCGTTTCGGAGCTCCGAGGGGGGCGGGTGCATGCGGACGCTGCGGGGTGTCGCTGGGCGCGCCATGTCGTAGGGGCCGGCCTGCCACCAGAGGCCACCCAAGGACCCGCGGGAGAAGCAAGCCCATCCTGGGGGCGCCGGGCCCAAGCACAGAGTTAGTTTTTTCCTGATAGGCTTTACGGGGGTTGGTTCGTAACTACGGGTTGTACTGGACATTTGTAACCTGGGAACTGCCTGTAGAGATAACCTGAGTGAATCTCCAGAGACTGAGTGAAAAAAGCCTATTCCAAAAGGTTTCATATTGTATGTTTCCATTTATATCATGTTCTTATTTTTTTCTCATTTTTTATTATCCTTTAAACTCTTCTAAATTTTATTGTGCTTTAGGTCAGGAGCTAGGGCTGCTAACCAAAAGGTGGGCAGTTCAGATCCACCAGGCGCTCCTTGAAAACCCTATGGGGCAGTTCTGCTCTGCCCTGTAGGGTCACTATGAGTTGACTCGACGGCAGTGAGTTTGGTTTTTTGCTTTCGGTGAAAGTTTACAGCGCAAATTAGTTTCTCATTCAAAAATTTGTACACAGATTGTGACATTGGTTGCAATCCCTGTGTTGTGTCAGCGCTGTCCCGCTTTCCACCCCGGCCCAGTTTCCTGAGTCCGTTCATGCAGTTTTCCTATCTCTTCCTGCCTTCACTTTGCTTTTGGGCAAATGTTGCCGATTTGGTCTCGTATACTTGATTGAGCTAAGTATATGACATTCTTGCAACAACAGAATTACAGAAACGGAGAACAGATCCGTGGTTGCCAGGGATTGAGGAGGGGTTAGGGGCAGGAGGGAAGTTGTAGCTGTTAAAGGACAACACAAGGATCCTTATGGTGATGGAAAGATTCAGTATCCTGACTGTATCAATCCCAGTATCCTGATATTGCACTACGGTGTAAATGGTTAATGTATTTGACTGCTAAGCAAAATGTTCGAAGTTCAAGTCCACTCAGAGGTGCCTTAGAAGAAAAGCCTGGCAATCTGCTTTTGAAAAACCAGCCATTGAAAGCCCTGTGGCACACAGTTCTACTCTGACACACGTGGGGTCGCCATGAGTCGGCATTGACTCAATAGCAACTGGTTTACTGGTGTATGGATCTACAATTATCTCAAACTAAAAAGTTAAAGAAAAGGGAAGAAATTGAATTTCTGAACTAAAACAGTCTAACACAAATGCATTCCTTAATCTTGCTCCTTGCAACCTGCCTGAGCTAGTTGGATTTAGTTTTCATTTATCAACTCACTCTGCTTTTACATTTTATAGCCGAGGCTGTGGAAATACTGAACCCAAACGGTTGTTCCATTATTGCTTTCATTCTACTATTTAAACATTTTAGACCTAGCTGAATTTTTTTTTATATATAGAGGGAGTTTTACTTTGAAATTTTTTGAAAAGATGTAAATAATGTTCAGTGTTTTTCAGCTGTTCTTAGGCATTTTCCCTCATAATGAAATTAGTGTCTAAATTCACAAATACCTGTAACTGTATTTTACCTCAGTTGTCTCAGGTGATTAAAGCTGCTCACAATCAAAGGAGAATGAAGAACACCAAAGACACAAGGAAAATATCAGCCCAAGAGACAGAAGGGGCCACATAAACCAGAGACTCCATCAGCCTGAGACCAGAAGAACTAGATGGTGCCCGGCTACCACCAATGACTGACCTGACAGGGAGCACAACAGAGAGTCCCTGATGGAGCAGGAGAAAAGTGGGGTGCAGAACTCAAATTCTAGTAAAAGTCCAGACTTAATGGTCTGACTGAGACAGAAAGAACCCTGGAAAACATGCCCCCAGACTCTCCATTAGCCCAGAACTAAAACCATTCCCGAAGCCAACTCTTCAGACAAAGATTAGACTGGACTATGGGGCATAAAATGATACTTGTGAAGAGAGTGCTTCTTAGCTCAGTAGATACATGAGACTAAATGGGCAGCTCCTGTCCAGAGGTGAGATGAGGAAGCAAAAAGGGACAGGCGCTGGTTGAATGGTCACGGGAAATCCGGGGTGGAAAGGAGGAGTGTGTTGTCACATTATAGGGAGAGCAGCTAGGGTCACATAGCAATGTGTATATAAATTTTTGTATGAGAAACTGGCTTGAACTGTAAACTTTCACTTAAAGCACAATTTAAAAGAAAAAAGGAAAGCCGCTCACAACAAGCTTCTTTCTGATTCCTCCCACCAGAGCATCGAGATGAGACTCAAGGTCAGCCTGCACGAAGACTTGGGGGCAGCACTCATGGATGGGGTCGTCCTCTGCCATCTGGTCAACCACATCCGCCCGCGGTCCGTCGCAAGCATCCATGTCCCCTCCCCAGCAGTTGTAAGTAACACAGCATAGAGGGAAACTAACTTTTACACCAGGCAGACTCTGGTTAAGGATGTCACTGGGCTCACCAGGGCCCTGCTCAAATCCTTTCTCTTGTGCCCCAGACAGTTCGAAGAGCAGACTAGAGACTGCTCTGCATGAGGCAACAAAGCGGCTTTTCACTGTGGGAAGCGAGAATGTGCTCAAATAAATATGTAAAGGACAGAAAAATAATTTATTCTGAATGTAAAGTAAATCACTTTCAAGGAGTCACTGGTTGCAATGCTAACTTTAAGACAGTAGGAACATAAAGACTCATTTCTCATATGGGGGTCTATAAACAGTGAGAAGCTGTCTTTTCAGAAAGGGCCTTCTGGTTGATAGCTTCTCTTCCAAATATAATCTCTTTCCTTTACTCATTGTGTAGGGTTTTAGGATAGCCCTGAAAAGATGTAGATTCTGTTGGAAATACCATTAATAACCCGTGAAGCCAGAGGTTGGTCAGCCAGTCATTAATTCAACAAATCCTTGACCACTCACTGTGCATAAGGATGTGTTGGAGATATTGGGGAGACAGTGGAAAAGGTGAAGATGACAGAGACTCCACTGCTCCGTAAACATTCTTCTCTCCTCTGTAGGGGAGATAAAAACTGCCCATTGGATAACCAGTAATAACCGGTTGCCATTGAGTGAACCTGGAATCATGGCGACCCCGTGTGTGTCAGTAGAACTGAGCTCCATTGGGGTTTCAGTGGCTGACTTTTTGGAAGTAGATTGCCAGGCCTAAGGTGCCTCTGGGTGGACTCAAACCCTCAACCTTTCAGTTGGCAGCCAAAACCTTACCCAGTTACCACCTAGGAACTCCACCCCTAGGATACTCTTCCCATATATCACAGAGCGCCTTAGGAGCTCAAAGAGAGCTAGATGTAGTTTTATGGCAGTTCAGGTAAGGATGGGGCAATCAGAGATATAAGCTGGTCTTTGAAGCACATGTAGGCTTTAGGCATGTGGAGAAAAAAGAGAATCTCTATCCATACAATTTGCTATTCATTGGGAGGGGCATGGAAGCAGCAGTCAAGAAATCAAACGACATTTTGCATTGAACGTATCTGCTGCAAAAGACATCTTTTTTTTTTTTTTTTTTATTGTGCTTT